CGTATCATTTAGATGAAATGAGTTAACAATTAAACTTTCAGCCAGTTACTATTATGTTCACTTTATTATCGAATGTTATACACCGTTTTCAAGTGTAGCTTGTGATTTATAATTGACATTTTTCTTATTTCATTATGATAGCTACTAAGCTAAAACATTTTATCCTAGATGAAATTGAGGTTATTAAAGTACAGTGAGGGATCAGTTGACTTTAATTTTAGATACTTTTATTGATAGTAGTTAAAGAAGCTAATTTTAGCAATGAAATTGAGGGGAAACTGTAACTTAGATAGTTAAAAATTCGCCGTCATAGAAACATAATTTGTTTTCCGTGTTCTTCTTAAATTAACAAATAATAAGATATACACTGCCAATTACTTATAATAATGAAAAGTTGAAATTACGTACACTATAAACGAGTTATCTAACAGTTTTTTTTTCTAAGTTTGATGGCTAAAATCGAAATATAATTGTCGGTAGTTTTGAATTAGCAAAGCATTATAATCTAGATAGATCGCTTGTAGATATTTACAGCATTAAAGATGGACTAAGATGGAAAAGCAATTTAGTGCTTAGTGATTTTAATATTTCGCAAGCTGATATAACTCTGTGATAATATATTTAGATGGAATAAATCTCCTAAATAAATTATAAACAAACATCATTTCATAACTAACTATCAGACCGAGAAATCGATGATTGTACAAAGAAAAATTGCTCCGACTTTTTAAACCTATCAATTCTAACCTGATGGAGTTATTTGCCCATCATAATTGGATGGTTCAATTTTCTTATGTTCGACCAAAGAAAACTGAAGTGTTGGATTTCAATATATTTGTATTTCCTAGACAGATTATAAGATCATATGTTTGATGTCGTTTAGAGTGGTAAACGTTGTGATACACAAAACTAAAACAAAACAGTTAGTTGATTATTATTTTTTACATGTCGTTAACATAACTACTCAATTCAATTTATTAGTAATCATTAAAACCCTGCACTTACGCATATATATAGACTTTTAGTCAAACTTTATTTTCAATCAATCATAAACATAATCAAATATATCCGGAGATTAGGACACAAGATAAAAGATTCAGTCTAAACAGTTGAAAATAAACATTAATCCATTCCCATCCGTTCTCATCATTCCGATGTGTGTTGTTAAATTAACACTTATCATACTTTTAAGAACATAACATTGTTTCTTTTTTCTATTATGTACAAAGCAATCTTTGACATTTCATATTATGTTTTACTCATTACACTGATATAATGTATTTGTATAAAACTAAGAATGAATATAAGACAACTGATTAAACATTTGTATCAAGGCATTTTGTTATAATTTTTTTGTTTTCCTGTTTATGTTTACCGACGATATCGAATTCTAATAATCATAAGTGTTTCAAACTATAAAGAAAAATCAGTTGAACAATAGTTAAAAAATCAGTATTATTACTGATGATGATAAACATAATTTTATAATTATAACAGTAATCATTAAGAAGATTAACACAAGAATCTATACAAGAAAATGTTATTCAAATGGTGGATAACTAAAAAACTAGAGTTAATAACAACAAATGCTTCATAAATTTATTTGTACTGGATGTTTAAATCTTTCCACTGATGTTATGGACCGCAGTTGATCAGTCTCCTTTGTTATATGCACGTCTTGCGTAAATCATTTCGACAACGCTACTAAGTCAACAGCATTCAACACGTTGTATAAGTCAGGGGCTGTCTTGACTCGGTAGCTATGAAGAAAACATAATAGCCGTTTGAAATAGAGGTATTGTGTCTTGAGCACCTGCTTAAACGTTAACACAGGTACAAGTTGGATTAAACACATGTATTGAATTCCACGATTAGTAGCCATCGTCCACACAGTATAGAAGGTTAATTATCTTGGTGTTACCTTTTCCTCTGATCTGTCTTGGTCTTCTCACGTTTTATTGTTATCGAAGAAGGTTTTCTGTCTGACTTACTACATAAAGAGATTGCATGCTCTTGGGATTAATCGTCATTTACTCTTACAATTTGTCAATTCTTGCATATCACCTATTATTCTTTACTGCTCTCCATTATTCTTTCCCGGGCTTTTGAGAGTGCTGAAGGTAGTTAGCAAGGTGTGTGGTGAATCTTTCAAGGTTATCACTGTGGATAGACTTCTAAAGTCATGCAAACTCCTGACAGGTGTTATTTTATCAGACACTAACCATCCCCTTCACTCCTATCTTTCTCGTTGTATATCTTCTGGTAGAACGAGACGTCGATACATTAAAATCCATGCACACAAGCAAAAGTATAAAAGTTCTATAATACCTTACCTAGCAAATATACTCTGTAGCAGGTCAGTAACCTGCATTCTTAACATGTCTCTAATTTGAAAATTTGTACAGTTTTTCAGATTTTTTTAAACCTTTTTTCCCTTTTTTTGCCTTTGTTTCTGTTTTTTGTGTAAAAAACTTGGTGAGATACCCTGTGCTGAGAATTCTATATTGTACCAAAATACAATATTGAATAAAGCTATTAATAATAATAATAATAAATTCTCCTTAATTGAATATCAAAGACTCAAACTTAGAACAACTAAGGGTGATGATTCAAAATGAAGAAGCAAAATGTCGTATCCTTTGACGATGCATTTATAGAGTCTTCTATAGTTGGTCTCTAAAGGTGGAAAAATTATATCATTTGACTGCAAAAATATTTGACTATATTAGGTTATTAAATTTGTCATCTATTATGGCTCACATTCATCTTATATACCGTAGCTTGGGACTGCTTAACAATGATTATTAATTCGGTGTATCTGTGATCATAATCGGTTGGATAATAATTCGTTTGATTCGAATTCTAGTAGATCAGGGATGACAACCTGCAGTGATACAGGTTCGAACCTCCTAGTATTTTAATATTTAGCTTTATGCAGCAGGTACATACTGTGTACGGATGCCAAGTGGTACAAGTTTATGATTTATGACTTACAGTTTTTATACGCATTCCAAAATAATAGACAGAAATCGAACACAAAACTCTCGATAGCATTACATTATTAAGACGGTTTTATGTATGATAAATTTAGTTGGTTATGTCAATGTAATAATAACTATAACTTCATTTATTTCATCTAACGTTACAGAAACTGCAGAAATGATTGTTTTGATTCAGTCAGAAGACTTTAGTTTCAATGTTATATTCTTTATTATTATTTGATCACATCAGAAAAATGATCTCCATTATGAAATAAATTTAATTCATCTCGTTTACACTTATTCCCCCATATGTGTAATAATTTTATCAGGATAGTTTTTGTGAAAAAGAAAAACAATTATGCAATATTTATTTCACCATCTTCACTTAACAAGATGTAGACATTTAACCTTATACATTAGGGTAGAATAAGTTAGATAGATCAATGACATATTCAATCTTATGGCATTTTTTTAAATGTTACTATTATTGAATTAGACAATATGAGTAAATTATTAATAAATACCAAATGCCCATGTATATATGTGCCTGATTCTATGCTGAATATGGCTAACTGAAAAGTTAAGGCAATGATCGTATAGTAAATATATATGTACGGTGATAATAATAACAATCAGTTCTAGATGATAAGATGTTGTTTACAAAAGATTGAGATAACTCATCTGATAAGGTATCGAAATTTATTTGAAGTTTATTTTTCAACTTATCCTGTAGACAGGAATTCAATATGATAATAAGGACAAACGGAGATGTAAATACACTTCAGGTTAGAAATAAAATGTAATTTAACTTTAACTTAATGCTGGTAGAATACTAACAAAACACAGTCTTACTAATCATGGGTATTTATACTTGAGCGGGAACAGGTATTTTTTTTTAAAAACAAACCTCACTTGATAGTGAAAACATTAGTTTAACTTCAATGTTTTCCTGATAAAATGATAGATTCCACCGTGAGAATATCACAGTTTAGTTTCAAAGTCTGAACCACTCCAGCAAAACTCATTTGCATTAACAGAAATTAGAATATTTCAGAATAAAATTATTTACTAATTGATATTTCGAAATTGTAGCAAATATCATTATTCATTGTTTATATTCAACATATTTATGTAAGTGCTTTTTTTCACCCATGGGTGTAATACAGTTATAAAATATAGGTATCAATACCAAGGTTAGACTTGATAGTTTCAAATAGATTGAACATTGGGTGTACAGTTAATATCCCATTGAGTGGTAAAATTGTATTTCTGACGTTTCGTAACTTGATGTAAGCCACTTCTTCATAGTAACTAAATAATACAGTTATAGACTGTTTATAATCTTATTAGAATGTTAAAGTTTCCCTTTGTGAAAATTAGAACAACACATACAATCGTCATCAGGCTTTAAATTTTTTTAATTATTCTTTTTATTTATTTATTTTATTCTATTTTTTGTTATCATTAGCTTTATTTTCACATCTAGCATTTGTTTGTAATTTTCTGCCTCTTGCCGTTTGTATTCTTCACTATCTAATTATTTACATACCTTTTATTGCGTAAGGATTTTAATGGTTTATGATAACTATTCCAAGTCTATTTACCCATGTTTGACCTTCCATTTCCAACGTTTAAATATTGACAAGACTTTTGTTATCGTATTTTATTATTCTTACTACTATCAGTACACCTGTCTTCCTACTATCAACTTGTATTTCTACTTATTATATGTGGTGACTTATTCTATTTCATTGTGATTATTGGGCCATATAGCCTTGATCGGTTTAACATTTTCGTATAAATATTCATGTATATTAGAGTAAAGCCTGATGACGATCTAATTGAAAACAATATTGTTCACTTATATGTGTTGTTATAATGTTATTAGATAAATCAACCTATTTTGTTTGTCACATCATTTAAAATAATACTTTAATAAGTCATAAAAATCACTGAATAACTCTAATATCAATGATAATTAATGGGTGAATAGTATCACTGAAACAATAATTTACTTACCAAAATCAATTAAACATCCAATTAATAAGGTTATAATCAACATGTGTAATTTATTTCCATTCATACATAGAACACTTTTCCATGATTGATTATATAAATAAATAATTATGAATTGTTGTTTTAAACATTGAATTGTCAACATTGATTTTAACAACAACAACAATAACAAGCAAAAATTGTCTAATTGATATAATTGACAAATAAAATATATAAAATAATGAAATTAATTCAGAAAATGTTTTTTGATATTTTATTTAAAAAAATTTTTTAATTTTTGTTTGGTGACAAAAAATTGTTTTGATTTATTTATTGATTAAATTGTTTGTTTGTTGTTTTTTTTGTTTTTTTTTCATGATCAGTTTTTTGATTGATTTTTCAATATCATTACAAAGTAAAATCATCTTGAATGGTCCATAGATATAATAAGAATGGATCAAATGGATCAATATTTTGTTGATATTTGAATACTTATATTTAAGAATCTAAAATAAAAAAATGAAAATAAAACAAAACTAATGTATCATGTGTACTTTTTAAAAAAAAACCATGATGATAACCATGGAAACAATTCTTTTTTAAAATGAAAACAATTAAAGTTATCATTTAACAGTATGTATTTACAAACCAATACAAGATATAATCTAGAGTACATAATGTTCAGGTTGAGATACTGTTAGATCATTGATTCAGAGATTTAGAGATTTATATCTAGAACAGAAGTGAATTTGTAAACTTTCAGTAAATGAGTATTATTACCAAGGTTTGATTTGATAATTTCGAATACATTGAGTATTTGGCAGATTAATCTAAGTAATTTGGATTAATTTTGGATTGGTTAATTATTGTCTGAGGAAGTGACTTACACTGAGTTACGAAACGTCAGAAAATCTCATTTTTCTACTCCTTGATATATTACAATTACATTATTTTATTTATTTAGTAAATAAGCTTTCTTCATATTAGTTTCATGTAGAGTTTATTGTCAGAATTGGATTTAAGAACATACTAATAACAAAGTTATTTAAATCTAAAGTGTTATTCAGTTAAAATTTGATTTCTAGACAATTGTTATTCATTATTCTTAAGAGCTATATAAAATAACAAAACGTACTAATGGTGTAGTGAACGAGAACACAAGTTGAGACAATCGAATTTATTTAAACAAAAAATCACAGAACATCAGCGATTCATACAGTAAATATTTCATTTGCAAATTATCAGTCAATCGTCTCAGATTTCGTTGTTCCTTCGTCTCTACATTAATCATTCTCTGTTCTCGTTTTCTATTCTTCGATCTCCTTAACCTTCTGCTGCCAGACATTCTATTCAAAACTACCGTTATTTACTAGTCGCGTTGATATAAGTGGCACACACCATAATGAGAATCTCAGATATATCAGTAAAATTTCATGAATGAAGTAATAATTTAAATTACCATTATTACCAGCATTAGTTAACAATACATGCCTTTTTTTCATTCTGTTTATTTGAAGGAAAGTATGTATCTTTAATATATATTTTCCTTCGAAGTCATTAAATATGAAAGAATATATTAATTACAAGAAGAAATAACTAATTAGTTGTTGAAAAGATAAACAAATCTAATTAACATGTATCCAGAATACCCTAAAACAATAGAGATTCACAATGTGATGAATAAAAATACTGAAACGTTTTTAAATGATACTACTAAAAATCTGTAAACTAGATACACAAATGTTTAAGTTAAAAAGATTCTGGTTGTTGAGTCATAACATGTTAAATGAAGCCAATATATGTGCAAATACGTTTTATGTAGGGATAAAAACATTTGGGCTCCTACTTGAAAATGAATTTTCATGTATAGTTCAACCAGTTCATTATAGTTGATTTGTTATATATCTTATTTGTTACATTGATTTACGAACGATTAAGGATTTTTGACATGCTAATACACATAGTTGTTAAGAACAAACCATGAATTATGTGGATAATAATACTTATAGAAGAATAAGTGAAGCTATTCATCACAATTCTTTCAATCAGGATTGACAAAGATTGTTTCTTGGTTTGTGAATATACAATTCAAGGTTTGAATTAACCAAATATTATTCATGATTACAATCAACCTTTTACAACTGGAAAAATAATTTTAATAAATTACGGAATTAATCGAGTTCTAATCACAATATTTCGTCAGTTCTGATCATAGCACTGATGAGTTAGTCTTGTCTGATGAAGACGTTTACATAGTTTAGTCTTCTGACCACTTGCATTTGGATGAATTTCTTACCATCTAGATGAGCTAAGGATAGGGAGTGAAACAATTTAGTACGTCAACCACTTCGCTTACCATAGAAGTCTTATAAAATTTTGAAAGAAATTCGGTCAGCTCAATTGGCCTTCATCACCTTCATTACTAGTGGCGTAGAAAAGATTTTCGTCAGTTAGCGGAAGGACGAATATACTGTAAAACAACTCTCTATATTCCGTTTTATGTCTGCGAAAAATGACCTTTAAAAATAAACTATATTCGTAGTTTTCTAATATTTGAACATACATGCTTTTCAAGTACCACTCGCATGTGCTTGGCACTCAGAAACGCTGAGGCTGGACAAAGATGGTATACCAAATGATGAGGTAGTAAATCTTTACTGAGCGAGATAATTGGGACGTATATCATTTATTCTCAATTAACGCCAACCTTGAAGAGTGATGTTTTCTGATGTATGAATAAGATGGAAGAAAGCTCGTGGCAGTCAAATCAAGTTGAGGGGTCATTTTATAAGTTTAGCGATTTTTTGGCTGAGCTCTCCATTCGTCTGCAGACTTCCTACTTAGGTTCAGGGGATTATCGCAACTAATCGTTATGAACGTTTGATGGTATGATTCGAAATCGTTCGTAGTGGAGCAAATGCATTCACTCATTATCTTCACCTAACTCCTAAATTTTTAAATTAACTTATAGAATTTTTTTCTCTCTCTCAATAATCTAGAATTTCATCTGGAATAATATCTTCTATAGTTATTGTTTCCTATTAGAACTAATAATGTAACTACGTTTAATACTGTAGAATTAGTTTTGACGATTTTATCACACTGTTCTTATAGAAAGTGATAATTTAAACCAATGAACATATGTGGCAGATTCTACGCTTCCTATAACGCACTGATTGACGAAAATAGTAATCAACATAATTGTTTTACTATGCATTTCAGTTAGTTTAAACTCCACCTGGAACCTCTCTTTGGTTACTACCGGTCCCAAGCCCAGATAAAGGAGGAGGGTTAGGCATGGTTTAACTAGCTCATCCCGTAGAATACTAACTCGCTAAAAAAACGCTAACCAGAAAAAAAATTAATCCAGTTACTTTAAAAATTATTTATTCAATATTTTTAATTTATTCTCAATAGATCATAAAATGTATTCTTACCTATTACTTCTTGACGTAGAAAAGAAGTAAGCTCAAAGTGAAAATCATAAAATAGTAAACGTTTTACTCATTAAACAATTGAATATTTCCTCGTAAAATTCTATAAACAAATATTCGCACGAAAATCGTTTCTTTTTTGTTTCTATGTGTATCTCATTTACTCAAAAGGCAAGAAATAATAAAGTGTATCATATACCGGAAATATCATTTCTATTTTATTACGTCAAGACGTATTCTTATTGTTCAATACTGATTGTGTATAAAACTAAAATTGAGACATTTTAATTGTTATTTACTTGAAATCACAATCTTGTTTTATGATTTTCATGGAAAAACAAAATTAATACATTAGATTAAAAGAAATATTTTATTCGTAAAACAAAGTAACTTGGCAGAAAGATTCGGATTCTCACTTTTTTTTATAGTAAAGTAGTGATGTATGCCCTCTTATATAAGTAGTATGTCACACAAATCAAAAGTGATATGCTTGTTAAAAGAAGATCGAGAAGATGAAATTGAAGAAAACAGATAGTATAACAGACAAGAATTGGAGACGACTGATAGAAAATGTACAAGAATAGTATGTAATGTATGGCTGTCAAAGTTTAACAAGACACTTTGTCATTTCACGTTAATCAATAAATTAATTAAATCCATTAAATTTGTATTCACCACAACATGTTTACTAACAATGTGAATCTGTTCATTAATTTTATTCTAAAACCAAATAATATTTGAGGGTAATTTGAAATTTCTAGATTGTTGATTTATCAGTTGAAAGCACTTACATTTAACAGAAATCATAATAAATATTACAATGTAGGTAGTTTCAATAAACGAAATTTAGAGATCTACAATGAACATTTCGGCTTCTGATGTTATCCAACAACATAGTTGAGTAAAACAATGAAAAAGTAAAAAAGAACCTTAATCCTCATTCTTTACTAAACTATTAACTGATATTCTAGATACGTTGTTTTGGAAATTAATTAACTAAGAATATATTATTAATAATACTGTTGCATTTAATAATACATGATGGAATACATCTAACATTATCTAATACAATAGTTTAATGAGAGTTTCATATTCATTATCAAATCGGTAGCTTATCCTTTATTAAGTGATATTCTGAATCCATGAAATTAAACATTCCATAAGAAGTTTCGACTAAATTGAGAATTACTAGTATAGGGGTTGTGGAGATTATTAAGTTTTTGATTAAGATCATGAACCGATTGATGTTAGACCACTTTCGGAAACCTAGAATCGGTTATAAAGTTAATAATAGATATATTTTTCGTTATTTTAATTTACTTTGAAGAAGTGGCTTATATTAGGTTCCGAAATGTTAGAAATACAATTTTCTACTCATTAGGATATAATTTAAAAAAAACACAATTATTATTTCCAGAAGAAAAAAATCACTGACATTATGGTCTAACAAGTTTTTAGTAAGAAGAAATCGATTTCATCAATCCATGCAAAATTCATGTTGAAAAAACGTCTTTCAACCTAAAATGTTTATCGATTTGTGACCAGAAAGAGTAAATCATTGAAGAGATCTCTTTAAGACAAATCTATTCCTAACATTCTTCTTTTTTTGTAAAATTATTCTTTTTTGCAAAATCATCAATAATAATTGTTGATCATAGCAACAATTTATCGAGAGAGCAAGACAAGCAAAATCACGAAGAGACTATAATTTAATTGATAAGATTTTGAGCAT